ACTGAAGTAAGAGGATGAGACGGATTCTCTATGGTGGTGTTAGTATGCTCAGAAGTCAGAGCTGAATTAGTTTTACTGATAAAATAAGGAATCAGAAAGTATTCATAGGACCTCATTTCCAGAGTATAAAAAGAAGATCTACATAATCCTACATAGTTGCCAGGGAGTGTAAAACAAAGTTATTTCTGTATCTGCTGCCGCTGCTGTCTGTGCTTGCAATTCTCACTGTGAACAGTAACTTACAACTTAACAACCACCACTGCATCCATTCGTGCTCGTTTTTATTACCAAATGTTTTTTACCCCTTTTTTCTCAACTTTTGTTATTAGCAGCAGCAATTCTTGTGCAGTTGGTCTTGTCATACCATTGTGCTGAAGAACAAAGCAGGCTGCAAGCAAGCCATCATTATCACTTCAGGGACCAGGGAACACACAACCCCCGCAGGAGGTGGGGAAAACACAGGCCCAAAACACAAATATCAGCACACATCAAACAAACACTAAAGAAACTCCAGTGTGAGGAGCAGAGAGGAGGGGCCCAACAGCTGCTGCCCTGTCCTCACCACCACACCAGTAACACCAGCTCCACAGGGACTCAGGCATCCTTGCAGAACTAAATAGTGTGATTTATTCTAGCTGCAGTTGTGTGTTTCTTTTTTTTTTTTTTTCTTAGCTTTTAGCAATGGTTAAGTTAAAGGTTCTGTCCAGAGTTCAATAAAACGTGATAAAATGTGTTTCGTCTTGTGTTGTAGTTTGGAGACTCTGACCCCAAGAAGACGATATTAAGTTTTGCAGGTCAGAAGCCTAAAAAAATCCTGATAGTGGAGTTTTTTACAAACACATCAAGTTCATTTAAACCCACTATTGCCTGATATCAGAACCTTACAAAACTTTAATATCATTTGTGAAAAGATTCAAATAATCTTCTTTCAAACATTAATTCTATCAGTTTTCAAGTGTCCCATTATGCATTTATTTTACCTCAATATTCAGCAGTACTTCAGGAGCTCCAATTCATACTTTGTAGCTGGGGGTCTAGGCACTGGTCTGTCTGAAGCTCTCATGTTAGACTTTAATCAACGCTTTGTTTTAACACAATCTGACCAGAAAGAACTGGCTGGAACTTCAACAGGAGCTGATTTGTGCTGTTAAACAAGTCTCTCACACATACGATTACAGATTTTCAGTTCTTGAAAATCAAACTCCTAAACAGAACCATGAATGCTTTGATCACACTGCCATGATAATAAGCTCCTGGAAATGTGCTGTTTAAACTCATTTTGTATTTTCTGTTGAGTTTTTGGCCCATTTTTAAAACTTTTTTTGCTAATGTGTGTGTATTGTAGCATCGTAGTAACTTCCGATCTACACATATAGAACACCCCCAGCATGAAGTCACTGCAAAGTATCAATGCGTTTATTTTTTTATTTTATCTCAATATTCAGCAGTACCTTAATAGTTCCAATAGTCCATTAGCTCATGTATATCCTCCTGGGACTCAAAGAAAAAAGTGTATTGCAATATATATTTTTTTTGAACACCTTAACATTTAGATTTAGTTTATTTTAGGTTTATTTATAATTTTATAACATGTCCTTTGTAATGGACACCAGGGACATTTTGGTGTTAAATCCATGTGAAGTTAACAACCTAACAAAAACAGCTTTTTAGATGACCAACATCTCTGACAAGCCTCTGCAGTCACCTCAAAACGTTTTTAGACTCACTTTTAATTTCTTTTTTTTAATGCTGCCACAACCTAACTCCTACGTAGTTTTTTTTTTTTTTTTTTATCATGTACATGATAAGTACCCTATAATCCCTCAGCCCTATTAAGGCAGAGGAACCTAGTCCCCCCATTAAGAGTCTGTCTCAAAACACTTAAAGGTAGACTGGTTAACTCAATGAACACTATAAAGGACACAAATGAATGGGCCGGGTCTCAGGAGGGTATGGACCATTAACTTAGATATGACAAAACAAATCTAAATTTGAGATACAGATTCTTCACTCAAATCACCTGAAACTTTGCTTCAAATAACCACTCAAAAGGATGATATTGTTTAGCTTGATAAGTGCACAATTCAAATTTTTGCATACACTAATGTTCATATCCGGTACCCCACCTTCACTCACGTCCTAATAATGCCATCGCTGTAAGAGATGTCACCGATCATCAGCACAGAACTAACTCCATGATTAGATTTGTGTGTGTTAGCATCACACCAGCTCTCCTCGGCTAGCTGAAGGCACACTGTATTTTATTTATTCAACATGTTTCCTATTCCAAGTCACTAATCACTGTCTCCCTCAGCCTCACCTAGAGGAGCGCTCTGGTGTCAGCAGGATAAAGAAAACAATAGCACATTCGGAGCCACTTTAATTGTGCACGTCGAACTCATAAATCACCTGGGAGCACGTAGACGCATGTATGGAGCAGTGCATGCTGGGTAATTTTTCTGCGGTTTATCTGTGACGTCCTGGTGACAAACAGGGCTGCACTGTGCCCAAGGGACAACTCAACAGCCAGAGTACACACAAATAAGAACAATGCAGAGAGCAGCACCTTTGTGGACAAACTAATTGTTTTCAACTTAATGTGGTGCAAATTAATGGCGTGACCTGGTTTGTACGAACATGCAGTTTTTTTTTACTCTCCTGGTGTTGAATGGTAGTGTCAACTGTGGGTAACATGGGTGCACACTGTATTACATTTTCTTACATTCAGTTCCATTAGAGGCTGTGTCTATATGATTGGTAACATGGCAGTAAATTGGACTAACTAGAGTAGAAAGACCACGTACTGTATGAATAAAGCCGACTTCACACAGTACTGAAGCAATCTTTGGCACTCTAACCACTCAACCAGTGTTCTTTCAGATATTTAATCATGGAGGTACAATTTGCCAGCAATCACATTTGAAAAAACAAAACAAACAAAAAAAATACCCACTTGATTCCTCATACCATTTATTGGTGATTCCTGGTTATGTCACTAGGGCAATTTTAAAACTGTTAGCAATTCTACTTTTTAGAACATAGGCCATTTAGCTTTGGGGCTGTCAACATGTAATCCTTTACCACAGCTCTCACCACCCAATGACATGGATGAATTGGTAATTTTATACTCCAGAAAGTCAGTGAGTTGTTGTCTTATCTGTTTTATGTCAGGCCTGAAGGAAGAGGCTATTGCCCAGGGTACATTTTGCCATCAAGCCAAAAATACTAGGGCTTTGACAGGTTCCAGCCACCTACAGCCCACAACGGAAAGTGGACACTAGAATGATGACTAAATTATAAAAGGTTCACTAATACTCTTCCTTGTCTTACGATTCACCCAAGGCTTCTGGGCTCAATTGAGATACGCAGAGGGAAAGCTAATGAGTGCTGACGCTTGGTAAAGGCCAATCTCCCTCTTTAGTCTCTCCATGTCCCGTCATGTTGTCACTTTTTAGTCCATGTCTGGAGCAATCGGGTGTAGTCAGGACTGCAAGTTGATAGGTGACACTGCCATTGTAATTGGTGCCAAGAATTGTTGGCATAGCAACAGCAGGTAATTCTGGGGGAGGGGGGATAAGCGTATATGGGATGCCACTGTAATAGAAGGGATCTGCTATAGTATTCGTGACAAGAGCTGTCAGTTAGGAGCACTGCGGTTCCATGATTCCAGAGGCACTTTATACAAACAGCATGTGCAGGTCTGTGGGCTGAAGGGTGACAGTGAGCAGAGGCGGTGTGGGGTAGAGGCAATCACAGTCCAGTGTGAGAATGTATGCTGGGACTTTAGTACAATACTGTGGGGCGGGATTCAAGCAGCTGTAAACATATTTAATGACCCTCAAGAAAACAAGGCTTTGACGTAATAGGACACACAGCATAATTCATTCACACCCCACACATGGTTGCGGTAAGATATAAACATGTCCACTCCACAGGCAACTTTTCCTCTCACAGAAATGTGGGCGTGCATTTGGAACTGACAGAGTTGGTGTAAATAATTATTTTTTCCTCTTTGATGTAATATTTGTAATTGTTGGATGTAATAATCCAGATTACATGATTACACAGCCCTATAGTGTAAACAGTCACCTCACCTCCTGGAAACACAGCAGAGGTTTCTGAAATGTATTCATAGACATGCATTATGTAACTTGGGCTCAAATACTGTTTGAAATACACATTGAAAATCACAGGGTGTTCCACACATCTCCATGTATAATTACTTAATCCACATTTTTGCTGCTCTGGCACATATCTACATTTATGATGAAATATTTTTTATTTCCCAGAATAAAGCAGTTGAGATGTCTGTAGGTCCTGGGGATTGGTCTAATTAGGTCATAATTACATGTAAGAGATTCAAAGGTATAGTAAGTGGGCAAGACAAATTGCATAGGAAATGCCACATTAACATGTAATAAGACTGAACTCAGTAATCTCTAATTAGCTTGCCCTTTTGGAGAAGCATAGCTCTGATCCTGGGGAAGAGACTAATTGTCTGAGAAGAGTTTCAGCCCTTCAATGGACTGGTGCACTTGGCCTTAAACCTGTGTGCAATTAATAGTACTCTCATGGTAAAAGGGAGCTCACTGTGTATTATAGAAAGTGTAATATAGTCTATACTGATTTATATTTATAGTACTATTTTTGGGACACTCAGACTGCATTGCCCATTGACTGCATAGCTGACCCAGAGCTGTCCTGGGGTAGACTGACAGAAGAGATGCTGTAAGTCTGTACCATTGGCCCCTAAGATCATCACCAATCACTGCAAACTATGAGAGTCTTTTACCAGTTACAAATAAAGACAATAACAAATAAGAATGTGTTAGATGTTACTGATGTATGTATGTGTGTGAAATATGTTACTGATATTTGATATCTGCATTTTCAATTGACTTTTCATGAAGGTTTACATCCACCTGCACAAAAGCCATCTGTATTGATAGCTATACACACTGGTAGGGGATGTATTCAAATCCAATAACTGCACAGAGAAATATGATGGAGAAGAGTCACTCCCAGTTTTAATTAGTCCAGCAGCCAGGTTTCAAAGCAATAGGGAAAACAATTTTAGAACACAATTTAAAAAGTCAATATTGGAACAGTCCACTGGTAATCTTTTGTAACCGAATATTCAGAAAGAATGAGGAGAATTTACATAGTAATTCAGAACACTAGCTCTAGTCAACTGGACAGTGTCAGTGAGCATGTTGGACAGATATAACAGTGATTGTCTATTGGTTTTCAGTATTTTGTTGAATCTGTGTTGAATCTATATGACTGCAATAATACAAAAAATCTGTTGGTTAAATTACATAAGATAAACCAAACTGATTCGAAACAACAAAAGTTTTGAAGTTAACAAAAAATCCATATGGTAATAAAGTAAATAATCTAAAAGGTCTCCAGTGATGTCTATACATTGTAATTGTAAACCAGACATGCCCCGTTTATAACAGCATGCATGGATCTGGTTTGTGGAGACCAGGCAAAAAATAAATAAAAGTAAAGGGGAATCAACAACACTTTTACAAAATTCATCTTTACACAACACTATCAAACTAAATCTCACTTATATACAATAGAAAAAAAGCTTTGAACTCTTCTCCCAAACAGGTCTAGAATGATAGACATTGGAATACTGGCATTGGAGTGGCTGTTAAACACACAGAGACAGAAAACTTTGCCTGAACTGAATCTGATCTACACCAGACCAAGATTCTAGCACAGGCATCAGGAAAGCAACAGACACAACAGTAAACAATGGTTTCAAAAGTACATGGATTAAAAAAGTGAATTAAAGATAATATACTTTGTTTTGAGGAACAATATAAAGTTTATAATTCTCCTTTTAACAATGCTCTGATGATGTGGCAGATCCTCTCAGGTTAAAGTTTGTAGTTTCTGCTGTGGAAAGGCTAAATGGCCCTGTTCTGTTGTGGTGAGGTACTACTTGTCCGTACCGTTAGTCACTGTGAGTTGCCTCCCTCTGAACCGTCCTCTGTATTCTGAAGGCAATCAGGTGAGTTTCTCCTATATTCAGGTACAAATACAAAGTACTCCCTATGCAATATTCTTGATTGCATTCTCATTCAGCCTCTCCATGTAGTTCCTAAGATCCTTGGAGTCCCCAAGCTCTATGTCCGGACAAACCCATTTGATCTCACTGGTCTGTGCCAGTGCTAAAGGGCTGAGCACAGGACAGCCATTACTGGCCTTGACATTGGAAAAGGTTGTAAACTTGACTCTTTTTCTCTTTGTTGTGGGAGAGTTCATGGACTCATTCTTATGATCCTTCCCACTGGAGCTACACCCTGCATTGGCAGTGCGATGTAGCCCCCCGTTTAGGAGCTGGCTCCCCTCCTCCAGGGTCCCACCCAGCTCATCCTGCTGCAGACACAGGCCCTCCTCTTGGCCCAGCCACACCCAGTCATGAGCGTGTGGCATAGTCTCTGGTGTCTCAATGGATAGCTGTTTGCTGCGGTATTTATAGGCATATGAAATGCAGTTAATGAGAAAGACCATGATGGCCAGGCAGAAGACTCCAAGCAGAGCGTACATGCCGATCTCCAGGTCTGTGAGGCCTCTGGAGCGTGATGGTAGTAAGTCGTCAGTGCTGTGGCTGTGTGGCTGCTCAGCCTGGTCTGGATACTCTGAGAAGTCACCGGGGACCCGGGCTCCACTGTCCGCTGACAGGCGGCCCCCATTAGGCCTCCCGGGGGCCTGGCCCCTCATGGTTGTAGTTCCACGGTTGATTAACCCAGTTTCCATGTCGGAGATGGAGCCTCCGTAATAAGGCGGCTCAGGCCTTGTTCGCCTCTCCCCAGGCTGTCTGTACTCCTCAGACAGGCCCAGCCTCACCTGAATATTGGCCATGCCGGTCCCCAGAACAGTGTTGCGCTTTCCCTTCTGACACTGCTTAGAGAGACTCATCTCGACTCGAACCAGTAAACCCTGACCCTCTCCTTTGGCAACGACGCTGGGCCACTTCCAGGCCTCTGTCTGCTGCACGGTCACCACCTTCTGGTCAAGAGAGGTGGCCGACAGAGTGAAGTGAGCAGGGTTGTAGTTGTCCAGAGGAGTCATGGAGCCATCGCTGAACTGCAGCCAAGCACTGATGAAGGACTCCTAAAACACAGGCACACAAAGGAAACTCATCAGAGCACAACAGCCCTCACCCAGTTTGCAAATGATGCTCAAAATAACACTATAATTTGCACATTTTCTCATATGCATAAGAATGACTTGAAATGTGCAACAGGTTAGAAGCAGAGCATCTTAATTACAGTTGAATGCCTTATAGAAACAATTGGATAAATAGATTGAATATAAGTTCATTCTTCTGACTCGGGGGAAAAAAAGTAGCCTTCCTCATTTACAATTATAATGAACATGAACAGAGATGCTCAGTGTTGGTTATGCAAATCAAGAAAGTAGCTTCTTGAAATCAAATCACCACAGAGGAGAAATTACTATTATTATCACTAGATTCATAAACTCCAATCAAACCTCATCATTATGTGCACAGATACTGATGAGAGATTGACCAGAGCAGAAGCAAATTCCTTCTTGAGATTTAGTACAACAATAAATACAAAGATGATTGGGGTTAGTACCTGTTTGAGAGTCTCGATCACCTCCTGCGTGGTAGCCGTGGCGACGATGGCTCTGTTGCTACCAGGGCTGAGCTGCAGAGAGAGAGAGAGCCCAGAGACCAGCTGTACCCCCAGCTCTGTCACACTGACTTTCTCATCCACCACCCGCACAGTGCGCTCACCCAGGACCAGAGATGTGAAAGGCGACAGCACCTGGAAAACAGATGAAATGTTTTTAGATGCTGAGATGAAATTTACAGAATGTTGCATAACGCTACGTCTCAACACAATAATACGCAGACACATTTTTAACCACGATATATTGCGATAAATGATACTGCAAATAAATAGCAAAATGAACAATCTTCTACAGCTCAAATCTTACCTTATTACATACATACAAGTCTTAATCTCCCCACTATTGAAAGAAATTATACACATGATAAATACTGAGGTGTTAAAAGGTTCCGGCCCTCAAGATAAGTCGATATAGTCATTACTGTGACAGGCTTAATAATATGGTTTAAAAAAAAATCTGTCACTTCTTAATCAGTCAAATGTATTGATGACTGCCAATTTAATACAGTCACAGTGACACATTCATTGAGGCGCTGTGGGTGAGGTGTCTTGCTCACAGGTGTATACAATTCTAGCACAAACAACAGAATTGCATTGCTATCTGCCCCAAATGCATTTAAAAACAGTGTTGATTTATGCCACAACCTTTGTATCTGAATGTACATTTTGCATTTGGAACCAAATCTTTCACAGCTGGAGAGGATTTCTCAGTAAACTGACTTGCTTCACCCATTTACATTACACATTCATTGCTGTGAAACCAAGTTGGTAGAAAATAATACACTGCTTCTATAAAATACAAACTCATTATCCATTTTCTGCATGTCAAAATATTTAAAAAGATACAGCACATAATTTCTTTCACTTTATCATTATTTTCTTGTTTTATTTAACTGACTTAAGTGAGAAAGTTTATGCTGAACAAAATGAATAGTTTATATTAGGACTCTGCCAACAAGCAAATAGTGTACCTCCCTAAATTGCTAGAGGTGTGAGCATGTAGATTCTGTTATGAACCGCGAATCCCTCCTATCCACTCCAATTAGGCCTGCAGTCTGTCCCGCAGCCTCTCCTACACAGATGCGTTTACCAGCCATAATCAACTGCCAGGCCCCATCACGGCCTCATTTGTAGAGCCCTCCCCTCTCTCTCTCTTCCCTTTGGTTGACCTTTTTCTTCTGTCCACTTCCCACACAGCCATAGTTGTATCTTTAAATATAACCTAGCACCTTAGATACAGTAAAACGTCCTTGTTATTTGAAAATAAAATCCACCTGCATGTTAGATAAAAATACTAAAAAAGTGTTTCACAAAAGTTGGTTAGTATGTTCCTTTTAAAAATACCATCTATAAGTTTATTTTAAATGGTTTGCAGTGGCCTGAATTTATGCATCCTAATTATTCACCCTGACGAATTTACAAGCGCTTTTCACAACTTTCAGAAACCGTGAGTGGAGTTTTGCTGTCAACTGGCAAGCTAACAGTGCACTTCCTGGTCTGCATTCCATAAAAAGCTGTCTCATTTTGCCCTCAAGAGCTGCTTTTACAACACATCTGTCATGTAGCAAGACAATTTTTGCTCATTTCAGATACAGCCACTTTAAATATACCCTTAGACAGAGTAAAATGTCCTTGTTATTAAATACAAATGTTGTGTAGCGACTAAACAAGCGGGTTTCTTTTCTCACAAAAGTTGCTAAGTATGGGGGGTTTTAATTAGTTTGATTTAGGCAAAAACTGGATTAAACATAATCACAGCAGCACATTTTGTTTGTTCTTCTCAGCAAGCCCTGGTGAACTTTCCTCAAAAACCATAGCATGCCAGAATTCTGTTTGCAACTACGGCGTCTGCACACACAGTCCCTCTCCTCACTGCTGCTGGATAAACTGCTCCATCTGAACAATCACAACTTCCAACTAAGGAAACCCAGGATCCTAATCACTGGCAGAAATATCAGTGTGGTTCCTTCATATCAGACCTTTGAAGTATTTTTATGATCTGTCCTGTTATTTGACCCAAACAACACTCACAACAGCACACACACAATAGCTTACTCACTCCATACTTTCACTTTTCTGCTGAGGTACACATAAACATTTTATAATCTTTTATTAATAAAATATTTAGTTGACTAATACATAGTTTAATGAGATGCATGTACACTTTATCACATTAAGTATGCATGCATGCGTGTAGAAAAGCATGCATGTATGTGTTTGAAAAAGCAGAGCGTGTTTTGATATGGTTTGTTTTAGTCTGTTGACCAATAATGCAATGTAAAACAAGGTATCACTTTACAATAATGGTGCATGAGTTAATTCATTTGTCCCATACTCCTGTAGCCACATTTGTCCTGGGATAAGCTGACAGAAGCGACGCTGCCAATCTGCCACAATTCATCACTCTCACACACACCACATTCATTCATTAGGATGAACAGTTTACTGGAGTCACTGCTGCCCCACTTTAATGGTGTTTAATGCCATATCTTGGAACATTCCATGCAATAACATAATAACATAAATTTCTATAGAGACAAGTAGGTGGAAGACCCTCATTACATAGTGCACAGTGAAATTTCTTGTTATTTCTTTTGTGGATGGAGTCAGAATTTTTGACAATTTGTAGAAAACTTTCACTTTAACCCTGGTAAAGCTTTTAAAACTATTATTCCTGCCAACAGAGTGAAATAGTCCAACTCTAGAAAATAACCCATGTAATGCTATTGCTTGGGGGGAATCTGTGTGGTCACGTAGCACTGGCCTGGAGAGATTTGGACAGGAATCATAGCGGTGGACTCTGACAGCTCGGAATAGACGGGGGCAGACTGGGGAGGCTTTAATTGCCCTCTGGAGGTGGGCTGAAGCACCTGCAAACTGGTGTGAGAGAGAGGGACCGCTGGCCGCACATCCACTGCTAGAATCTCTCCCCTCTCCCTGGGTATGGGCCTCGCATGCTCTGTAATGGGGTTGAGGTGAGACATGACACTTTGGAAAATTGGACAAAGGACTTCAACAGGGGTTAGGAGGAGAGATCTGACTAGTCTAGATGAATCAAAAGAGAAGAATAAGCATGACATTTCAGAAAGAGGAAAGGGCAGAGAAGCCATGGTGCAGCGTGCTTGGAAGCGACCATACATGGGAGCAGAACTTGTCAGTGTTTCATGATTGTTTGAGTGTTGGAAAAGGGACACTTGTTCATATTCCATTTGATTATTCAGATACAGTTAAAAAAAACAAAACACTGCAATCTTCAGCATATTAGCAGTTACAGTATAAATATGGCATTGGCATATAGTCAGAACAACATTTCTTGCCAGAAGGCTTGCCAGTGCTTAGTGCAAGGGTTTATAGATGACATTTAAATTAATTTTAGAGCTAAATGTTGCCATATGAATAGAACAAAAATATATATTTTACATAACTAATTTAAAGTTGTTGGCTGAATTTTGCTTGCCATTGTTGTTTGGAGTCAAAGTGTGGGCATTACTTCCTATCTGCATTGCGAGACCAGGGGCAGAGCCTTGACTGAGGTCTGTTGTGTACCTATAAAATTGCTGCCTCTTTATATAACCTTTGGCACAAGTACTCAATTGTTAAGGAAAAATATTCCAGAAAACTGTTGATTGTAGCTCTTCTTCGCTAGTCTATTATTGAACTTTCAACAAGTGAATGCTCTCTTTAAACTGTGTTGTCATTCCCCTCAGGAGTTAACCTTTTAACAGAGCAGGGCAACGCAAAGTGGCATGAAAACAACCCTGACATTTTCAGAGCAAGTACTTAGATGTCAAATCATTAAAAACTATTCAACTAGAGTAATTAACATTTCGATTGTTCATTAATTTGGAGAGAAGTCTTCTGGACTGTCCCTTTGAGAAAAAATAGCAGGTTATGTGTTTTTTGGTTACCCATTCATCTTTCACCAATTATTCTCCTTGTGCAAATCCTGGATGTTTGGAACTTTGTGATGGGTTCACTCTGGACAGTGTGTAATAATCTGAAAAAATGTTATTTTATCTTTCAAAAGCTATGACCATTTGAAATTTGAAATAAACAAGATATAAAGCTAGAGGAATGCTGTAAGCAAAACAGCATATACCAACACATTCTTTAACCAGTGGTAATAGATGTCAAAGTATTGGAGTCTTTCTTGATGCACGTTTAAGATTTTGACTTCTTATGTCTGACAATATTTTCAAACCTCCTACACAAACTGAAGAAAAATCCATTTCAAAGCTCCTCAAATACACCTGTCTTTAGTTGAAAGCCTGTCACATTTGGGTTCATTTATCCCTTTCCACTGCTGTGATGTCAAACCTTGATGCATTTCCTTTGATCTGACCAGTGGCACTGCTAACAGCACTCTATAAACACAGAATCTGTATCAGCTCTGGACTGCACACATCTCTTTGGCTGTAAACCACCATTATGATTCCAGGCCATTACTTTAACAGCGTGTTGCTCTGTCTTGTAAATGCCAAATTTACGTTCATTGGCGGAGAGAGCGCAGAGAGCGGAGGGAGTGTACTAGCGTGTGGCAGTAGAGACGCTCAGGTGGAGGGCTGGGTAAACACAATCCTCCCTGTGTCTGTGCGGAGAAGTGAGGGGCTTTATTGGAGTACATGGCATGTAGGCATGTAGCTCTGTCAGTGCATGATCAGCTAAGTGTTTGTGTCTGGCTGCGATCGATGGCTGCTTTTGTAACGCTCTCTTTTCATTGGCTGAACAGTGATATGCTGCAACACATTCTCCAGCTCTGTCTATGCACACAGCTGCTTGTAAAAAAAAACCAAGTACTTCACAATGACAGTTTTGTATTGTATTATCTCATTCAGGTGTGCAATAAATTTCAATATTGTAGAAAAGATTATTTTAGTAGTTTGGTGTGTGGAGCATGCAGTAGAGACATATTATGGACTAAAATAGAATAGAACTTTATTTGCCTTTTTCAAGATAAAACAGTCAGACAGAATAAATACAACAATATAAACAGAATAAAACAGTGCCAACTGGTACTATTTGGGGCAGTTATTGCAGTGGGGAAGAATGATTTCTTGTACATGTTCCTGAGGGCCAGTGAAGTTCTGTAATGTCTGCGCCTGATGGCAGCAGAGTGAAGGAGTGACGCAGGGGATGTGAGACATCCTCAGTGATGGGGGTGGCATTCCTCAGTTCAGTTCAGAGGGCAGGGTGTTTGTGTTATTTTGCTGGCCTTATTTATTATCCAAGATAGTTTTGTTTTGCTTTTGACAGTGAGAAAATTGAACCAGGATGAGATATTGTATGCGAGGATGGATTCTGTAAGTGAAGTGTAAGAGTTAAAATGTCTTTACTGACATTAAAATATTTAATTTTCTCAGCAAGTAGAGGTGTTATTGTGCCTATAATATTTATATAACATGCAGCTCCAGGATAACATAATGAATTACCTATTTACACTAGTCTGAAGCCTGAATAAATATGATGATTTTGTTCAAAAGGGCATTAGGCGTAATTCTATGTCAAATTAATATGAATTACACTGAGAAGAAAAGGAGTAAAGGTGACACATATTAAAATAATGTATAATTAAATATATAAATTGGAGATCACTAGGTAGTTATTAAAGTGGCTATACTTGATTTGTGTCCATGATGCAAAATTAGTTTTGCCTCAGGATTGTCAAAGTATCTCTAGGGTCAGAATGAGATCGCTTTGTGCTATCTGTATGTAACTGTAAAGCATTTTATCATTCCCAAATCAGGATGTGTATGCTAGTGATTTTTACTTTTGCCATGACTAGAAAACTCCATTCTGGCCTCTCAAAGTTGTAAAAACTGCTTATAAACTCATCACAGAGACTAATTTGGATGCTAGGAATGGGTTAAGGTGGACAGTATTAAGTTTGGACTACAGCAAACAGTTTAAAGATGACCAACTGAAAACTGTGCTTTTAATTGTTTTTATTATATGTTTGTGTTTCATGCAATAAAATATGAAGGAAGCATATGCTTTACATGAACTAATATGGATGAAGTTACTTATGACATTTTTTACCTTGACTTTGGTGGTACCAGAATTCATCCCAATTAAGACGTGTCCATCCGTCAGCATGGCCACACTTGGCTGATCCACTCGCAGGAAGTTCTTGACGAGCTGCGTGACCTCCACCTGCCAATCAGAGCCGAGCAGGAAGAGTGGCTGTCCCGGACCGTCTTCGTCTGCCCCTCTGCTGCTGTCTGCTGCTGCCTCTGCCACGAAATGAGTGAGCACCCGCACACTGGTGCTCTGATACTGGGGCACACAACCGCCCTCTGCCCTCTCTGCAGCCTCCTCCGCCTGGTCATCTGTCACACGCTCATATCTGATGCCATTCACACAGAGAGGAACAAGAGGACACTGGGTTAAACAAGGCCACTGCAAAGGAAGCCATTACTGACATTGTTGGTGCTTTAACATTGTGCAGTATTAAAAGAACTGCATGTGAGTTTTTAATAGATTTTAAAAATGTCACAAATATGACCCAACAGTGTCCCCAGAAATAAGGTAAATATGTTCAAATCAAATGCTACTGATAATAATTCTAATGCCAATTTCTTCCTAATAACAAGGTGTGCAGAATAAGCTCCATGTGAGTCTTTTATTTGAGTTGCCAGTTCCAATGCTGAAATCCAGTTGCTTTAAACCTAAAATAAGTCTCTCCAATCTGAATCCTCACTGCCTAAACCCCAGCACCTACAACCAATCACAAATCAGTGCTAGTGCCTCTGCAGCTCAGTGACAGAATACTGGAGATGACTGGAGAACACGAGAGACATGCCCATTCTATATACTAAGAAAAAATTGTGTCTCCTGTTTACATGCAAGATTAAGGCACTAGCAACTCAGGTCAGTTGTGACCAGTGCAGGCTTAGAAAGTACCAGCATACCTCACTTTAAGGTTGTATAATATCAAAATCAGAACTTAAAATGGTCCTTAAGAACATGAGAGTGAATATGCTCTATGTCTGTGTGCCAGTCAGATGAATTACTGGAACCCAAAGTTAGGTTCCAGTCATTCAGTCACTTAACAAGGATAAAACAAAGAAATTGAAAGTGTAATGTTGTTTTACTTTTACATTGTAAGTCAAACATCATAAATATCAGTAGCAGAAACACTTAAATTATGTATCAAATAATTACATAAAGTGTTTTTGTCCAAGAATCCCAAAACGCCTTATTATTTTGCACTGTGATGTGATTTTCATCCATTTAATGGCTCTAATGGTCATAAAGTGTCTATTTATTTAATACAGGCTGGCTCTGGCCTGACCCCTGGAAGGTCCCATTTCAAAAACGCATTAAAGTAGTTTACAGACACACTGCTGCCTCTCCTGCTTTTCATTTCTTTCAAAGGGCAACATTTCACGGGGCGTCTGTAGTTTTTAGCCAAGACCAAACACACAAAAAAAGATATCACTCATTTAATAACAATTTGCTGTTCCCAGATTGAACAGTTCAGTGTTGTTGTTGGAATGCTGTCTCTCCTGCTGAAGGAATCTTTGAAGAGGCTATTAGGTACACTGCTTTCTTGAAAAGGAAGAGCAATCTCACATCTAGAGACAATTTAAAATCCAAAGTTTCAGCTAGTTTTTCTTGTAGTGGTAGTATTAGTTTAAGTTTTGTACTGGCTACTGCTAAAAATCCATTATTTATGACACCAGATTCCACCGTTCATATATTGTGTAGTGCCGATAAGGAGTGATGGTGTGTGCTATGGGCGTACACAACAATGCTCTTTATTATGTTCTGACAAATAACCACACTTCTTTCCTTGTACGTCCCTAGTCTTACCAGTAGTTCCGTGGTCATCTCAGACTCCATCTCTCTCATTCATTTCTAAGCTGACTTCTATGTGATGTATTTTTCAGCTCCACTCTCGCCCTCACCTTTCTTCTTCTCGGCGCTGCACTGCTCAGCACAGTCAGCTGGCTGCAGGGACTGACACTGACAGCCTCTATTAGGTTTAATGAGGCATGGCCGCTCAGGCAGAAAAACAGGCTGACAGGTTAACATGCTGTGGCCCAATGGCTTGGCTTAGTTCCTAACCTCTGTTCCCCGCCCCCTCTCCCTGGTCCTTAGTCCACACAGGAGCAGGGACGCCAGAGCTGCTCCCATCATGACCAAGGTGACATTAGTGAGGGGGACACAACAGAGGAGTGGGTCAGGCGTGTATCAGGGAGGGACAGGTCGACCGAGGTGTTCCACTGTAATGAGAGGGCTAATGGCTCAAGTGAAGGCTGCACACTGCTGGACCAGTGATGACAGGGCATTTTTCTATTTTTATATAGTTGATTTATTGTCAATTTGTCATCAAAGAGGAACCGGATATTAAAAGACATTTGTTTGCCTTGATACATTGGAGAGTCTGTGCACAAGCCTCTGTGATGTGGCAGTGACGAGGTATTAGTGGGTATTAGTGTTAGAGTGCCCCCGTGTGGGATGTGGGTCATAGCAGCACACTTAACCCTAACCCAATGATTTCAGTCTATTACATGTGTCACGTTCAAGGCTCTGCATTAGGGTGACCCAAAAAACTTTTTTCTTTTTTCTTCTAATTTGAACCGTGCATTTTGGCCTACTACCAGTTAAAGTTAACACAAAAAAATTTGAGCTACATTAAGTGACATTTAGAGGTTGCACAACACCATAGAAAAATCACCTTTTTATCTCTCTTTATTAGCCAAATAGTATAAATCAGCAGAAATATCAATTTTCAAAGTATTTATTCCTTATATGCTATAGGTTTAATATATATATTTATATAATATATATGCATAAAGCACATGTTGTAACATAATATAATGAAACTTATATAAAAAAAAAAATCATTTGATGAAAATGACTAACCCGATAACCAAGTCAGTTCAAACTGCCTGCTCACTTGAAGAAGTGGCAAGACCTTTGACAACTGTGTCTTTCTTTGAGTCAGGTAGCTTTTTCTGTGATTTTGAACCAGCTGTAGTAGGAATTGTTTCTGTTCTTCTGATTTGGTTAATATAGCATTGAAGTCCTGGATCAACTTCACTCCCCGTTCTGCTGTGTCGTTCACAACTTTCAGGGATCGGACTACCTTCTCTGCATAAGTGACCTCCTCATTTTCCTTCCATGTTTCAGGTGGCATTTGCAGAAATCACTGTGGCAGACCAAGAATAGTAAAGAATGCATTTGTATTCTTTGTCACAAAATTGCTGAGGGTGTTCTGTTCATAGCTTCCATTTGCATCAAGACGGTGGGGAACGTGGGGTGATCCCTCTCTTTCTTGCATGTCCCTAACCATCTGTACCTTTTGATGTGTGTTGACATTGTGATCAAAGAAAGCAAGCCCCATCATGACTTCACTCAAGTACCAAAGGTGTCGCTTGAATGCAGTCAGTCCTGCTTCCTTAACAATTGGATTACTCTATGTATATAGAGCCTGCATGAATTGCAAGTCATTTGATGGTGCTTCAGCAGCCATGAGTGCTGTAAACCAAGCACGGATGTAAACTTGGGTCACAAACAACAGGAAGTGGAAGACCCCACGTTCTTCACATACTCTGAGTTTAAATTGTTTCCTGAACAGCCAGATTTTGTAACAGTAAAGAACTTTTGCCATCCAGCGTGCTCTATGTACTGTACCAGGGGCCTGAATATGCACTCCTCTTGCTGGAGATCCACCAAGAAAGATAACAGCAAGCTCTAAGAATTCTTTGTAGTCATCTCTTTGCTGTTTTTTTTCAAGATGTTCCTTTGCAAACAGCAATATCTCATCTTTGAAAGGGGTTACATCTGGCATTTCAGCAGCTGTAGAGAATGAGGCAGTGTCAAGTGAAGACCACTTCTCTTTAAAACGTTTAAATATGGCAATATCTGGTCCAGAAGAGGTTGTTATATGCAGTGCATGAAAAACTTTGTCCAGGACAATTTCCAAGATATGGTGGCGGCATGCAAAGTGTAGAAGATTTCGTCCAATAGCTCTTTCGATGAGGATGCAAGCACCATTGAAACGGCCTGTGTTGCTTGCTGTTGTGTCAAAACAGAGACCTTTGACATATCTGGAAATATTCCAGTCATCCAAAGAGGCTACTACAGCAGCAAAATAATCCACTAAATTTAGTACAAACTTAAAAAAAATCAGTCAGTGTTTAATTAATATTAGCACTGTTCATATTAAATTTGACAAACTATTGCATAGGTTTTGTATATAGAAAACAGAAATTTACTTACCAACACTATCAGCAATGTTAAGCTGACAAATCTTTCCTCATAGCCTTTTTCTAAACTTTGTCTTAAGCAGTCATGCTATACAGTATACATGACTGTAAACTGATTGTGAGTGTTGATCTCATATGACAACTATTCTGTCTCTGCTAAATTGGTATGACTGTTGCAGAGATTATTGCTTATTGAAAGAATATAATGGATTATTTAATGAAAAGTGGCAAAATGTAGAGTATGTAATTCTGCCAGCTCATCAGACACAAAGCAGTGTGACAAACAGACACACTTTTGTTATTTGAGAGAGAATTCTTGAAACTTAAAAAGGCTTGTGCAACCTCTAAATCATGTTGGATTTCACTGAAATTTTAACCCTGTTGCTTTTGTATTTATGGTATATGTTTGCTGGGTTCAAATCGAGAAATTTAAACTTTTATTTTTTTACATGTTTTTCTGGACCACCCTACTCTGCATAGACTGCAAATATTTTAAAACTATCCAACTTTTCAGGGGGAAGGACTGCCACTAGCTTGTCTCCATCGAAATGTTATTGCTTTATCTGAAATGTTTCACAGTATGACATTAAAGCTTTCCATCTTCATGGAGATAGTGAGATAGCAGGTGATTGCAGTAGGCTAGATAATAATAGTGATAATAGTGATAATAATGATAATAGTGATAATAACTAGAAAAGCACTCAGAGAGCGCAGACCTCCGCCAAGGACTACAGTCCCCCTCATATTAATTGTGTTTTCCATAAATATTTGTCTCGTATCTTTCAATTTGGAATATGAAAGAGGATCCCACTGTCCATCCCTGAGTCAAATTTCATGGGGTTTGGTCAATAATTAACCGAGATATTGAGAAACAAAATTTTTGGCCCCATTTACCACAATGTTAACTAAAATTTCAAAGTGATCCAGAATCCAGGATTTCTTCCGGATCACCCCCAAAATGAAATCAGTTCTTCCTTTTCACATTTCCAACTGAAAATTTCATCAAAATCGGTCCATAACTTTTTGAGTTATGTTGCTAACAGACAAACAGACAAACAAACAAACAAACAAACAAACGCCGGCAAAAACATAACCTCCTTGGCAGAGGTAATAATAATAATGATCAGGACAGGGTCTAAAACATCAGAACATTAATGGGGTAGGCTAATTTAAATAAATGGGTTTTGAGTCTGGATTTGAAGATTACAGGTCAGATTTATGGAGAAAGTAACATTACAACATAAATACATGTTGCAAGAGCTTTTAAAACACCTATAATTGGAATAAAAATAAACATAAAAATAAACAGTTTAATACTGTTCCTACCAAAGCAATAACATCTCCATGGCAACAAGTATGTTGCAAACCATCAAAAAAATTACATAGCACACATTTAGTAGATCTCAATGTCTTCAACAAGTTTGCTGTGTGCAGTTCAGCCGACCAAGAAAGCCACAAATTGCTGATAATGTAGAATTCAAGATTTTTGATCTGTGGATTAAGAACACTTGCTAGATTCAAGATGTTATAAATGATAAAATAACAAAACTCTCAAATTCCAATATGCTAAACTATAAATTGAAATACAGTCCCATTCAGATATGGTGACTAAACATATGTTTTTTCTTTACCTCCTGCTGCCCAGGGAAATGGGCACTCTCCAGCCTTTGATCTGACTGAGCTCAGGGTCGGCCACATCGATGACCAGAGGGAGGCGGGGCATCCACACACTCATCTCCAGCTGGGTGCTCAGGAAACTGTAGGTGAAATTCAGGAACACCTTACGACTCCCACGGCTCTCCTTCCCATCCACATAGACGTAGTCACAGCGGTTGGAAACCTGGGGGAAGAAATATTGCGATTATTATTAGGTACAACTAATGTAGATATTATTATACAGCCATACTAATGCTTTTTTTGCCAGTTTAAATTAGTATAAGTCTTTGCCAAGAATGCATGGTAATAAACGTACTGTATCTATCTTCATGGAGACAATCATACGAAGCCCGGCATAAAACATTCCCTCAAGATAATATTTCGTTCTCTCAAGATAATTATGTCATTCCCTCAAGATAATATCTCATTCTTTAGAGATAATATCTTGTTCCCAAGAAAATAATGTCGTTCCCTCAAGAAAATGATGTCGTTCCCTCGAGATGATATCTCATTCCCTCAAGATAATATCTTGTTACATTATACTGTTTAGTTTATTTTTATAGTTGTTATTATTTTCCTTTCCATGATCTGCAGGGCTCCATACAATTATGTGGAACAATTATGTGGACACAAGTAGTTGGCAGACACTGTACCAGAAAGGTGACAAAGTGCACTTTAAAAGGTTTGGGTTCTCAAACTGAAATGTGAAGTGATATTAAATAAATACACAAACCATACTTAATAAAAAAATATAAAAATAAACAAAAAAAACAACAAAAAAAACAACAACATATTTCTACTGCTGTCTTACCATCACTACTACATACTAGTTCTACTTTTGCTTCTTGTGTATAAAGGAAAGAAGAGGAAGAATTAAATTAGTCCAGACCAACTTAATTTAGCTATAAAAGCCATTTGAGCTGGATCAGGTCCTAGCAGAAAAAGGCGCATTTTCCTCTTTTCTTGTATATATTTAGCCAATTTCATCTTGTGAAGCTGGAGGGAAGACAGGCTTTGACCTCAATGCAACTCACAGTATTTAGTGTGCTCATTCGGTGTGCAGATGCAACTTTAATGTGCGCGTGTGCTGTCACTTTAAAGTGTGCGTGTGGGATGACTTTAGTCCAACTTAACAGATGGGGCTGAGGAGAGACAGACCTGCCTCTCCCAACCCCAAAACATAATACAAGCTAACTGTAAGCGCTGATTGGCTCTGCGCAATACAACTTTAGTTCCATTTTCAGATGTGATTCCAACAGTGAAAAATGATACAGCATGTACATCAGAGGCATCTGTCACTATCTTCAAAGCACCAGAATCTCCCAATCAAATGTTCCTTTCTCCCTCTCACTCAGTGCAGGGCTATTTAACAAGCTGTCGCTGAGTTATGTTTGTAATCAGAGGATTTAATTCAAATTCAGCTTCCAATATCATCATGCTATTGACTAAAAGTGTCCAATTTACACACACGTCCACTTGTGTAATGGAAATGTCAACTCTTTTGTGCAAGTTGGCAGCTTATTGTCAAAAGTCTGGGTGATGGTCAAACTCACAACTTGGTATCTGTCTCTCATTCTGACACATAATGATGTAGCCTGAAAGCTCTGTTTTCAAGGGAACTATAAAACCCTGGTCAACTTAAATACAGCACAGTGTGTTAGGGCTGTGCAATAATACAATGTTTCATGAACTGTAATCGATAGAATTACAGAGTTCAGACATTATTTATGTTCTATAAATGCATGTTGAGACACATTTTTAATTGGATAAAAATGACTCAATATAAGGAAAAAAGAAATGTGATTACTTTTCTGTCATATCTCACAGCCTTATGGTATGTTAGCATTATCTGACAAATTGATTTTTTTTCAATACACTTGTATTGTATGCTGGTCCAGCATACACAGGGGAAGAGACCACCAGAAGGCTACAAAGTCTGCTCTGTAGTGCCTCTTCAACTATGAAACTTTTCTTAAAATATATGGAGCAGAGCAGTGTGAGGGCTAAGACACCAGAGATCACTCACACAAGACTTAATTACACAGAACATCTTCAGGCATGTTTTAAATGAGGAATTAGAACATGGTATGAAGATTAAAAACAGAATTTTACATAATTCAAAGGGTTATGACAGTGTGCCCCCAAATAGAACAAGCTAATTTGTCATCAACTGATTATGTTGAGAAATGGCACGATAGATCCTGCGCTAAATGAGTGAGTATGATTGCATACGTTAACACCTCTTTTACGTCATGCATTATAGTACATCACATTAAAAGGTACTACGTTTTGTTGGTTTTGTAACTCGTTAGACACACTGACGTTGGTGGTTTAAGGTCAGTGTATTTAAAAACAGATTGTATTTATTCACAATGGCAGACTGCTCATGTTGATGTTTTGCAACCGTTATGAAATATATTTTTAAAAACACATAAAAAAAAGTACCACGTTGAACCTTCAGGCTAAATCCAAACAGCATGTTACTGAAAGGAGCTGAACAGCAAGAGGCCTGTGGCAGGGCAGTGAATGTAGAGCTTATAGATGGGCTTATACAGTATAACTAGTATTTAAAGGTAATGGTATCTCTAATTTAAAGATGACATTATGCAAAATCAAGTTAAATACTGGTAAGCTTCTTTTTACTATGTTCTCTCATCATTAGCTTGCTCAGAGTTGTATTCTGATTGATTCATTTAAGTTTGAGTACTTAAAATTCACGGCTTGCAAGCATGTGCAGATTGGCAGCCTCACTTCCATCAATCTGTACCAGGGCAGCTGGGGCCACCACTGAGTCTGGAGTGAAAGAATAATGCTCTGTAAAAGAAAAGCATCTTTGAGTGTCCAGAAAAGTGTTGCATAAAATTGATGCATTATTATTATTAAATCCCTGTGCATGTAGGATTCTAAAATGTCACACAGCTTCTGTTCAAAAAAGGTTGGTTGGACACAGGCAGCAGATGTGACATACGTAGAGGTAATTCCAGGACTGTTACCTAGAAACTATATTGTTCACAAGGGCCAAAGGATGTCTAATTGTACAATAGTTATAATTAGACAAATGAAAATAGATCACATCATCTTATTGTGTTAAAGTCCTATTGACTCTTGTGAGCTTTAAGGCATGCTAAACAACTGTTACCTCATCAAAAACATACTTAGAGTTGTATTTTGTTTCACTTACACATGTTCTCCTCTCTGAAGCTCAAAATGCTCTGTTCAACCTTGTGATGTCATGAAGTGGTAGTGTTCAAGTTAAAAGCTACCTTTTATCCTTTGTTTAGTAGAGATGAACAATTCCAAATCTGAAATTGTTTAAATTATTCTAGTTGTATGGAGTTTAAAACTAGCATTTCCTCTATTACCATGACATCACAAGGTGGAATACTGTGTTATCCGTTGAAATAAAACACAGCTCCGGATATGTTGAGATGAGGAAAACATAGATCAGGAAACAGCATAATATGGAGCTTTAAGTCAATGTTTTATGTCTGAAAAAAGTGTTCCTTGTACATAAATTACCCCTTTATGTGGATTGAAAATTTCCATTCTGAGGAGGTATTCTGTTTTAGAATTCAATAATTTACTGTTTTATTCCACAAACTGCCACTTAAGTGATGTAACACTGTGATAAACATTTTAACAAACCTAGTAATAATTAGAAAAACATGAAAAACTGTCACCTGCAATGTAATGATCTACATGAGTTAAATATACCACAAAATACCTGAAAAACACCCTTCTTCTTAAATCAAAAACATTTACTCAGTTGACTTCACTTGGTCCTGGTTTGACACTTGATATAACAGTGACCAGAGGAAGACGTAACCTACAAAACCAGTGCTTTGACTCAGACTGCAAACACTGTCAGTATGTAATGTAAATAAGAGCAGACCTGACATGTCTCATTAAAGCTGTGAGCGTGATCATTAGATTTAAAGACACGACTGCAGTGACTCACAGTACACTGTTCCCATGAAAGACATATTAAGTAACCTGTACGTGGGAGCAGTCAGACAGTTGTCACAGTGTTAAGAAATGTACCTTTGTAATGAACAGTGTAATATGCATTCTCTTGACAGATGGATTTTTCTCAGACTGTAGACAATTTGCAACAATAGCAACAAAACTCTACACAACTGTACATGTATTATGTCTTTTTTCATTTTCATTATAATAACATGTTTCGTCCAACACAGTGTGACCTTCTGTCTGTACCCACGTGTCAGTATTGTGTAAATATTGTTTCCTTGTGAACTTGAATGATAATTTGTGAAGTTTTTGGTTACTAAAGAGCGTATACTTGAAAGATGAATAGGTTCCAATCACCTTCTAGAATTTGATGAGGTCCTAATTTCAAATGGAGGACAGGGGTTTTCATAACTATTGGGTTTTGAAAGAAATATCCAAATTTATAATCCACAAATGTTGAACCAAATATTTAAACGTCACATAATGTGTAAGCAGTAGTGAGGCTAATGAAAAGGCCCAAGGCATTCTGTTCTACAAAACCTGACCTTTATTAATACATAGACTCCATTTTACATCTAAACCCTGACTTTCCTGATAAATATCATTCATTACTTATTTGGAATTGTCTCCACAAACTTCCTATATTAATCTTATTGCCTAAAGCCTGTTCAACTGATAATTTCATTCACTATTTTTTGAAAGCCAATGTGAAAAATGATTTAAATTCCATTTATTCATGCTGACAGGAGACATTGAACTTTGAGCCAGTTTCATGCTCAAGGTCAGTAATTACAGACCATATTATTCACAAACCAGTCAATAAATATACAAATACACTTCTAGAATGTTGTGATTTTATGTGAACAAAATCTTTTCTAAACTAAAGTCCAATGGAAGAGAAGGGAACAATGTTTACAAAGACTGTCAATTGGGACTTAAAATTCACTACTCTCATGATATAGATTATATATACAGAGGACATTTCCGTACAAGGACATTGTAAACACTTCACGCTTTTCATAATTCCTGGAACATCAAACAAGTTTTCTATTTTGACCATATTCTGCATAGCTGTTAAAGCTGAAAAATGTTAGCACAATCTAAACTGGAAAATACATCCAAACACCCAAAATGTTAATCTGTGTGAGAAAAAAACAAAAAAAAAAACCAGTTGCTTTTTTCCGAAACAACTTTTATTTCTGCTTAGTATTTTGTGAAAAGAAGAGGGTTAGTGGATGGCCAGGGGAGCGTGCGGCCAAGGTCAGCGTCACTGTGTGGGGTACTTCTGTGGATAATTAAACCCTCAGAGATCCGGGCTTCTATCAGATCTGCATGGACTACACACACACACAAACACACAAACACACATACACCTACATGCAAAACACACACACACACAGATCCGCTTCATAACAATAGCTCTTATCACCATTCTCTCACACAATCCAGAACAAGTTCATAATATTATTTGGCGCGTGCTTCCTTTTGCCTAATTTGCTATGGACATGCTGGAAGACAGATATCATTAGGGAAGGAAAAATGATCCAGTATTATATTTACAGACAAGAGCTACATGTGATGCTACCAAAAATCTTCGCTTTGGATTTTAACATTTGAACAAAGGCAATCGGATTCAGTTAAGTTCATTTATTTCAATTGTTTGGTTCATTGTGCATAATGAAGGGGTTTCGGATGCAGCCTGTAGTGATTAATTGAGAAGGGGGCAAGTACAGTGCTGATTACAAATTCTCGTAATTTTTTGAGAATGGATAAATAATGTATAATCGTTTGAACATTTGTTGAATTTGGATATTTCTCCAGACAGGGGAACGATGCACTGAGATGCTGTAACCCAGTCGTCATCATCAAATTATGCACTTTGTCAAAACTAGCAGGGTTGCTCTGCAGTAGTACCATCAAACCTACTATGTCCCAGTTGATACTTTGCAGTGACATCATACTGAGGGTGTCTACATACATCTCTAATGGTGGAATGTTTAGGAGTTACCATGGTGATACATGATATGAATGTCTGAAAAACACACACACAAAAACTACAAATACAAAATGGATTTAAACAACACATTTGCAGGAGCCTGTGATAAATACTAGCGTTCATGGTTCTGTTTAGGGAATTGATTTTCAACTGAAAAACTGTTGTCTAACACTAGCTATCTTGGGACTGTATGTGTGAGAGACTTGTTTAACAGAGCGAATCAGCTCACCTTCCTCTAGCTAAATCAGTTCTTTCTGGTCAGATTTTGCTAAAATAAAGATCAGATTAAAGTCTAACCAGCTGATAGATAGAGCCGTCCTTACAGTTGGCATCACACCCCCAGTGAATGTTAATGACATCAGCTACAAAGTATCAATAGCTGAGCATGCAGTGGCAGTACTTATTATTCTTTGCTTGATCAATCTAGATTACACATATCTTCTTTAATGAATCCAAATCAATTCTTTATTATGTCTTTGCTCTGGGATTTAGTAATAACCTACAGCACATGCAGATTATCATTTTAGGTCCTACATGATACAAAAGTGAGCTTTGTTATAATCAAAAATGTACCTGGAGTTGTGTTTCACACAATTGAGTAACCCTTTATTGTTAGTCTGTCTACAGCCCCAAACCTCAAAATGCTCTGTTCTACCCCGTGTATCAGAGATGGACAGGAGCTGGAGTATACGACACTGACTGCAAATTTTGTAGAGTGGTCCCAGGTAAACCATCTGCTCCTGAAGGTTGTCAAGACCAAGGGACTGGTGATTGACTTCAGGAGAAAGAGAACAGTCCATCACCATCCAGGGCCATGACGTGGAAAGAGTGGACTGCTACAAGTACCTTGGAGGCCATGTGAACAACAGGCTAAACTAGAGGAACAACAGTAATACTGTGTACAAGAAGGGCATGAGTAGACTCAACTTCCTGAGAAAACTTAGGTGTTTCAATGTGTGCAACAAGTTACTGGAGATCTTCTTCCAGTCTGTGGTGACCAGTGCCCTGTACTTCACTGTGGTCTGCTGGGGTAGCTGCACCAGTAAAAGGGACATTGGGCGAATCGACAAACTGATCCGTAAAGCTGGTCACGTGATTGGCTGTGAGCTGGAGACATTTATCACAGTGAGGGACAGGAGGACACTGGACAAACTGCTCTCCATCATGGACACTCCTGCTCATCTACTACACCAGAGTATAGAGGCACAGAGGAGCTCATTCTCCAACAGGCTCCAACAGGTTCCTACAGCTCTGCTCAAACAGTGAGACATACAGGACTACATCCATACCATACTCCATACAACTGTACAACAACTCACCCTTATCCTGTTAATCATCATTTCTTCTTTCTACTGTTTCCTTACGACCTCTTGTATATAATTGATATACTGTATTTATATTACAATATTTCTTTTTTTACTTAATGTACAAACATTTATATAATTTATAGCTCATTGATACCAACCTCTTGCTATTTTCTATTTATTTTTTTCTTATTGCTAGTTATTTGGAAGTTCATAACCATTTTTAATATTTTTTTACTCTGTGTTATTGTAATATAATATAATGTGTGAGCTACTGTGTCCATGTAATTTCCTCAATTACAATAAAATCTGTTTAAATCTAAGTCTAAGTGATGTAAATCTAAGTCTAACTGATGTCACGTCAAGTGGTAGTTTTTAAGTTAACAGCTACATTTTATCTTTTGTTCAGTAGAGATGGGCAATTTCAGAGCTGAAATCTTCCAAATGATTCCAGTCCAAGTTGTTTGGAGTTTAAAAACACAATGTACACCTTGTATTACCACATGACATCACGAGGTGCAATAGATTGTTTTCTGTTTGAGAGAAGTACACAGAGTAAATATGCAGGATTTGTGTGTTAAACGTGTGAATGAAACAAAACACAACTCCAGGTCTGTTTGAGATGAGAACACAGATAAGAAAATAGCTCAACACAACACTTTGTATCACCCAGCTTCAGTTTTTTTTTTTTTTTCTGTGGCTAGTACACAGCCATGGACCAAGAGCAAAACAGGATAACTCAAAACAACAGCATAAATCACTATGAATATTGATTTATAATTTTGCATCTAATTTTCAGGGTTGTCCAGGCTCCAGAGGGCAACCTATTGTACATTTTAACTTTAGATAAGCTAATTAATAGGGGAATCCATTAGAACAGTTTAAAGTTATTAAAATCTGAATCAAGGTAACATGATAATTTGGGGAAAAAAAATACAAAAACTATTACTTGTACTAAACGTAATAAATGCCCCTGAACAATGCACCATGTACCAAAAGAATCTAAGCCTAGTGTGTGTGTCTAAAAGAAACACTGTATCTTCCCTATAAGAGAGCAGTGAATAGCAAGTCTTTACCCTCCGAGCAATAACTGAAGCAAGCTCAAAGTTAGCACAGAAATCCATGCTGCTGTCGGCTTCAATCTGTGCTCACTGTTATGTGGCCGAGGCAGAAACATGTCAGGTTAGTACAAGATCACACGCCCAGACTAGTGGAGTTTGTCTTCTACAGATTGCCTTCGGATTTCCTCCCCTCACGCGTCGGATTAGCTTTTAATATGCCTGCTCAGTTATCTATTCTCAGCGGATTCTAACTTTAGTCTGCCTTGTCCCCTTAACTTTGCAGTACTGTGCCCGTTTTTTTAATAAGATGGCCTTTAATGTATTCCTTTTAGTGTTTTTGTTGTGGTGTCCAGCAAGCCAAATCCAATCAGTTTCTTAGTTGAATAAAGATAAGATAAATCATCTTTCCATTTCAAACTGCATCTAAAATGGGTACTTTCTTGTGATGTGGTTTCCAAAGATTAAAGGTTGTATGTGTTTTTTTTTTTCAAGGCGGTATATTATTTCTAAATCTTTTAACCATGTTGTAATGATGTTCCTTTCTTGTTAGGTGGCACAGTGCCTAAGCGGTTAGAGCTTTCACCTCACAGCAAGAAGATCCTGGGTTTGATTCGCTGGCGGTACAGGGCCTTTCTGTGTTGTCTGCATAGTTTTCCTACAGATGCTCTGGTTTCCCCTACCTTTAAAATATATTTACAATGTGAGGCCTCCAGGACTCCCATGAAAAAGAGATTCTTAATGTCAGCAGGACTAACCTGGTTAAGTAAAAGTCAATAAAATAAAATTTATTGGCTCAGAGTTAAATATGGTTTGATTTATGTATGTTTGAGTAATTCTGTACTGTATCTGGATCTACCCCCTATCTCCGCCCAGTTCCACATACTAACTTACGTTTATTCATAAAAGTCTCTGGGTCACACATTGTCCATGAAGTAAACACATTCAAATCAAATAATGATTTTATTGATCACAAATTATTTGATTTAGTCACAATTACATTTTAATGACATGATGTTAAAAATGCTTTTACTTTGTGATTTGGTTGTGATAATCCAACCATAAAGCAGCATGAGCTTCTCACTCTGAGTTGCCAGATTGTCTAAAACCAGTTTGCAATAAGCCTGAAATGGCTCGCTAGATAGGCTGCACCCTAAGTATATGACAGCTAATGGCATTTCAGAATCATTTGTGATTGTATTGTTTTTAATTAAACCAGCAAGAGCGGATGTTGCTACTTCATTTTCTGAATTTATGAAAATACTCAGTTGTTAATCAAATGTGAAGGGTTCTAATGGTTTTTAACTGCTATCACTACCTGTATGTGTTCACTGTACTTACACACCCTCTCAACACTTAAGTGCTGACCTGAACAGAGGCTAACAAAGAAAAAAGCTAAAATAGTCACCACGTGCACAGCAGCTGCTCCGGCACATGGCCCACTGACCTTGATGACTTGTTCATCTGTGGATCTGCACTCCACTGCCTCCGTAACATCTGATACCGCCCCGTCTGTTCCCACGGTGACCACCTTCACCGGCATGGCTACTGTTCGTCCATTGAGGACTGCCGTGTTCAGGATCTCTGTGTCCTAAAGAAGAGATATCATTGTCAAACTGATGTCATACAAGGGAGTTCTGAATTAAGGAGCATCTCATTGGACAGTCCTTGGGCTTACACTTGCACTGTGATAACATTGGAAACAATGGTAGGATGGCATTTTAACAACTGATAAAGCATTCTACACAATGAGATGTGAGATACACAAAAGGATAATGAGATAATGAAAGGGCAAGTGAGTCAAAAAACATAAGACCCTTTTAAATATTTTATGCTACTAAAAATGAATTTACATTTTATTCTTTAGTTGTTTTTTTATGTGTGAGTATGCAACATTGTTCTTTTAAGGATTTTTTTGTGGCATGCTCTATTTAAAAATACTATGTCTTCTTGTAACATTTCAAGACGATTTAACTTTCAAAATGGGTTTTGCATGAGTACAAAGCCATGGAAGTGACAAACTGTAGCTATTTTAACTCTAGCACCCCACCCACTCGAGAAGAGAATGCCTTATAGAAGAGCAGATAAAAAGATCAATTAAGACAACATCTGTTAATCCTCGCCGCGTGTTACTTTGAGTACGGATTTGTCTTTACGCAGAAGCCTGTTCAACACAGCTTAGTTTCAATAAAAGATTAAGTAGAGGCCTCGCCCTTTCAAAGTGGTCTCCAGGCACTCTTTATTCATCAAAACCTGTCAGTGCGCTTCCTCACACTCGTGTTCTTTGGGAACTGGAGATAAATGCATCCCCAGACCATTGCACTGTAGTCATTATTTTCTTTATCATGGCTGCGCTTTCTATACTGTTTGTCAGATTAGAAGTCAGAAAATTTCCACCTATACAAAGTTTGACAATAAAAAATTTGGATCTCACTTTCTCAATTTGAAAAATATCAGCAACAGCAAACCAGGAATCATTTCACAAAAACATTACATTGGAAAACAAAGATTATTTTTCATCATATTATAATTGCTGTACTAAGATATTAATGTAGGTTTTATTACAGAGTCACAACAGAGTGGTCCACTTAAGAACCACACTGAATAAATAAATGATAGTGAGAAGGGAGAATGCAAGTCACTAATTAAGTGCTGCAGTTCACAGAAAAACACCACAAAAGGAAAAAATTATATAATGTTTGAAAGCAAAGCGATGGAATAAACATTGTCAAAGCACTTTCACCTTTTAATGAGGCAGAAAAGTTGCCTAAAATGTTATGCTAAATTCACAGCTAAAAGTTTAAGGTATATGTGGCAAAACTAAACAAATCATGTGTGGGTAATGATTGTTGATACTGGAAAAATGCTTTGCACGTTCAGCTGCAAAACTGGGAAGTAAATGTGGGACTAAAGAAAAGAGTGAGGGAAGAAGAGGGGTCTGAGGCATATGAGAAACAGTGCTTGGTCAAACAGACTTCAAAACTCTGCAGCCAGGAGTCAGTAATCAGTAATTCTGCATGATGTCACACAGTACTTGAAATTGGAGTGGTGACTGAAGGCAGCACAAATGGAGTTTTTGACAATTTTTTATTTATTTTTTTAACCATATAACGGCAAATATACCTAACTGCACTAAACTTGCCAAAAAAGGTAATAAGTTGAGCAGCAAAACATTTTAATTTTGTAATGAGTTTCACTTTAACTACCCCATGAATTTACATTAATCATGCACCCACAACTCTGGAGTAGAGCATATACTGTTTGTTAATTTGAATTTAGTTTTTAAGACCTATCTGAATTCATTGCAGCTTCAACTTTTGCGATTGTAAAAGTAAAGCTGAAAAAGCTGGCCAGAGTGATTCACAACCTACAAAACAATTATAATTTTTCCACTGCAATCCACCCACACCTGTCGGCTCTTAAACTGGCCCACTAAAAGCCCACACAGAGCAAGATGGACCACATTGTAAACCCTAATTCATACATAACTGCAGATAAACGGGAGTCCCTGAATGGCTGTGTAATTGTCTAGTCAGTGCAGAGTATTATATTCTACTGACCCACACACGTGCACAAACTGTCCCTCCAAAAAACTATAAAGCATGACTCGGGCCTCATCTTATCGAAACAGCCTCTCATCGGTGAGCGAAGACCAAAGAGGAGAGGAGGGACAATCGATAAAAGACCATTAAGCTCTTGTGTGCAGTGGGTCCAAGGGTGGCTGATACACGCAGCCATGTGGATGAGTGATGTGGAAGAGGCAGACAAGCAAGAGGATGCTGTATAGACTTAAGGGACAGTTAGGCGCTTTTCAAAACTCAAGGACACTGGGGACGGTTCCAAGGCGAGACAAAACAGGATAGTCAGATGATAGAAGACAAGAAGAAAGCCCAAAACAAAACACTATAGTTATTACTTTAATCAGAATACCTTTTATGGCTATTGTCAAAAATTCACAAGGTAGGAACTGGCTTGCAACATAACACAATGAATAAAAAAGTAAATATACTCTGTGTAAAATGAAAATAAAAATAAGGACATGCATTAAAAATAATATACTTGAACTGAATATATGCAAAATATACAATATCGACAGGACAACAGTGCAAAACATTCAATGCATGTAGATGTTAAGTATTGTAAGTTCATGTAACAGAATACTATCATTTCAAATTGTCTGTGACCGGTTTGGGGCTTTTTAATCAAGCCAACCCTCAGTCAGTAAAAACATGTGGTTTGCAGCAGAGTTTAGACTGTGTAGAGAAAATTACTATATTTTTAAATGGCATTTAATTTAATTTATTTGTTTATGTCCATGAAATGTATATTAAAATAAAGCTAAAATTATCGAGTTGAAGACTGATCGTATTGCCCAGTCCTATTCTCAAGAACATCTCAGGTTGTTAAGGTTATTCAATATGAAAAGAATATGATGTTTTGTTGAAGAAAAATGTGGTTCTGATTTCATAACAATTGAGGGACGTGAACAGAGTGTGCCTGCCTTCGGTGCATTGAGTGCACTGTGTTGTCTTCTAAAAGATGCTCGGTATATGCAAAATCCTGAAAAAGATCCTGCATGACTCAAGATCTAGAGCAGGGTCTACAGACAGGAACAGTGCTCTGGCTAAACTGCACCAATGGCAATGGAGTTAACCACAACCTCATAAAATATACTTATAACAGAATGGATCTATAAACAAACCTATGAATATTAAAGGCCCTATATTACACAAAATTTATTCTTGTGAGCTTTAAGCCATGTTAGGATAGTGTTACCATCATCATCAAAAACATACCTTGAGTTGTGTTTTGTTTCATTCACATATGTTTGAATAAAACTTTATTATTAGTCTGTATCACTAAAGCTCACAATGTTCTGTTCCTCCTTGTGACATCATGAAATTATCCAAATGATTCTAGTGAAGGTGTATGGAGCAAAGCACTTCCTGTACTACCACATAACATCACAAGGTGGAACAGAGTGTTTTCTGTTTGAGAGAAAATCTCAGCCTAGATCAGAACATAGTGTAATATGGGCCCCTCAAGTAGAGCTGGTGTAGTTTGTTTCAGATACTATGAATAATTGTAAAATAATGTAACCTACACATTTCAAGTGCAATCTAATTTTAAATTTAACCTAACTTTCCACTCAATCAATCCTTTAGACATGGCCATTCTGCCTCACATCTATCACCTGCTCAGACATTTAAGGCAAACCTTAAGCTGACTTGAGTTACTACAGGCCTAATTGTCTCTGCCATCTACATTACATGGCCAATTTACCTGCACGGCTGTTCATCATTATTTAAAGAACAATGTCCATTAGTGGATTTCAGCACCATCTTGTGTGACTTGCTTTACCAACTTCTTTCTCTCATTGCAAAACCAAAATTAGCAAAAAAGTACTTGTTTTCTTTGTGCCTGTCAATCAAAATGCAACTTTCAAATAATAATAACACACATTCAGAGCTGAGTTGTGCCAGGAAACTATTGTGCAACTGAGCGACTGGATTTAGGCTATTTTATTTGGCAACCGTGGGTGATTGGTTTTTAATCATTTCTGGACAGTTGTGTTGCCCCAGGACAAATAAATGAGCTTAGTTGCCAATTCTTATACACAATTATTACAACAATTGTATTCTTTTTTGTGCTAGCTATAGGCCTATGGGGTATACGCATAATATTTTTGTATTTTTTTTTTATTTATGTATGTGATAATCACATTGTGATTCATAATTAATATGTTGCATTCAAACACACGTCAGCAATATGCAATATAATATGCCAAGGTTATGATGATCTTTACAGTAGAAAACATGGTTGCCATGAGACACACATAAATTCTGAAGTGAAGCCATTGCTATTCCACAATAAAGATGTTCTAACCAGATTGTACTACATACAGGATAATGTTTGTAAGCTGTATTTTGTATATGATAGAATATGCACATGGTTAGGTCTAGTCAGGACTACTGCAATGAAGCCTATACACCACACCAACCAAGTTACTAAAAACTAAAACAACATCACTAAGAATGGAATGAATGATTGAATGAACAAACAACTTTCCAGTATGAGGTATCAGTGCTACCATAAAGGTCACCAGAGAACCTTTAATATTCCTGCCTGTTCTTTACTAGATTAATAGTACTGGTTGGGGACAGTTATAGATGGTGAAATCACCTCTGCATTGATTTGCACCAGCTCCTGTAATCTTTTTACGGGTGACTGAGGAATCACATCATGTCATAAAAATGGTAAAACTTAGACTAATAGTAATAATTGTGTTTGACTCAACTTGACCCCATTACATGACTGTATGAGGGGAGGATTACCTCATCTAATTCAAATACATAGAACAAGTTAATGTTAAAAGCATCCATTTTATTCATATATTCAGTGACACTACTAATGTCCTATCTAATACATTATGCATGAAATTGGTTCATCGGTTCTAGCTGTTAATGCCTGTTAATGCTCACTATTGAGAACATTATCTCAATTATCTTAATGAATCATGAGTTACTTCCAGGTCAGTTAAGTGACAAATTAACACAACTTTTATACAAAGTTTACAAGAGTCCAACTGTT